CCTGGTTCACTGACCCCCCCACCCCCAAACCGCCAGTATCAGACTTGAAGCAGATTGTGGATCAGAAAAAGGTTTTTGTCAAAGTTCCTCGCTGAAACCCTTGACTTCTAAACCTTTTTAATCCCAAGGACTCCGCTTTGGATCCACAACTTGTCAATTGTTTTTATTGTGAATATTCTTTATATATTGTGAATTTGAAAAAGCTGTCAAAACTTGGGGACAATTCTGAAAACGAGTGACACCGCCAACATTTAAAAACACACCTCCTGCTGCGTAAAAGATCCTGCTCACGACCAACAGTGCGTTAAAAGTGAAATATGGTGTTTGTGTAAAAGTGTAAATTAAAGATACAGGCCACATAATGGATGTAAGATGGTTTTGGTATTGAAAAGAATCTGACTTCTACAGGGATTTGTTGTGAAAAAAACCACTAAGGGAAATTAATTTCTTTTAAATTGAACAAGACATTTTTTTTATTTTCTTTGGCACAAATGCAAGTGTGTGACCTTTTGTCTTTCGTCCTTTGTATCTGCACCACAAAAAAAGTGGCGTTGAAATGTTCTCGTTGTATATCCCCAAAAAGTCAAATTCCCTGTGTGACTCCATCCATAACCACTTTAATTTGACTCATACTTAAAATATAGTTAATTACAAAAAGACTTTTAGCACTCCTTAACAACTTCACATATCGTTATCATATGTCTGATCAGCACTCCAAAATATTTTCATCACTTCTTTTTCGTTTATATATACATTTTTGTACAAAGTGTGCAGGCTCCCGAAAGTCTCTCATACGCTTCTTCCCCTAAATTGCACAGAATACAATACCTTCTGATTAACAGCTTAGTGTCACAGTGACTCTTTGGAAAACGTATTGTTATTGTGTTAAAGGAGAGAAGTTATAAGATCTCTTTCAGGAGCACAACATTAAAACTGTAAATCCTCATCTCAACGTACAGATAGTCATTTTCAGTTTATTGCGATACTCCTCCAGTGCCTGAATTTTATTGTCTCAAGCAAACAGCGATATGTTCTAGTAGTAATATGGTTCTCTTGTAAAAAAAATATTCAAATAAACATGCGTGGTCATTTCAGGGTTATCTTTTACAGAAGTAGCTCTGTTTAATTTCTCCTATGTTTTAAATAGTTGGAAGTATTTATTGTTTTTTGATCATTCAGGTGATTCTTTAATTTTTTCCCCATACAATTCCCTCGTTATCATCTGTACAGCGTGCAATGAGACAAATCAAATCCCCAAGTTACACATTGTTTCCTGTAAATGTACATACTGAACCTGATTGTACAAAAAAAAAAAAGCTTAGAAGACAGAAGCCATGTTGAACTGTTAGAGGAATGTAAATTTGGTGTACAGTTGTCCTTCGTGTCTTTTTTTACTTCATGTAAAATAACTGGCTGCACAATATCAACAGGAGAAGACGATGTTAATAATAAGTGGTATCTTACTTTCAGTTTGTGTTTCTTGTTTACATGTCACAAAGGATGTTGAGTTTACCCTGTTGAATTTATTTAGTATACCTTTAAGTCAAACACAGTCGGGAGTATGATTTGAACGTTTGATATGGAAAAAGCTTGTTGAATTGATAAAAAAACAACCTTAAAATTCATAAAAGTGTCCTGAATATGTCTTTGAATACGATTTTCCCCATTCAGTGTGCATCATTATTGGCAGAGAGAACCAGCTTTATGAACTTTAGGTACAGGTAAGAAATCAAACTAATGTATAAGTCACTCAAATTAGTAAACACATCATTTTTACTGTTACAATTAAAGCCGTGCACAACTGTGTAGAATATATCTTGTGTCTGATCGTGACAGAGTATTATTGGAAACACATAAACAAATTGAAAATCAATGCGCTAGCCGTTAGCATGTTTATATAACAGCCACCAGGAGGCAGCATCACACACTGTCCTGTCTGAGTCTGCAGAATTACATTGAGACAAGAGGCATGCTTGTTGAAAATAAAGTTTAATAATACAACCTAACGTGTTATTCTGCTCCAGCTGCGGAAATTCAAACAACAAATGGACACCTACAGTGGGTCAAATGTGGTTATCCAAGTACAGGTAGGTGGAGAACTCATGAAATGTGATGCTAAACCGAGAACCTTCAATCGTTTTCCCGGTTAACTTTTGATCCTACCCAAATACTTTTTTAAATAGTTACAACTTCAACAATCTCAAACGCGGTATTTTAACCTGTGTAGTATAGTTTGCTCTCGTTTAAATTAATCTTTATCTCTCTCGGCAGAGCTCAGGCCAGATGCTGTTTCATTTCATGGTTTCAATGATCAGCCTGCCTCAAAATCAGAATCAGAAACACGTGTATTACCAGGTAGGTTAACACACCTATTTGACCTATTTGAATTTGACTTAGTGTTTTGGTGCAACAAAACATTTAAAACACAGAGGAAACTATTTATATCTCTGCTCTCTGCTGTGTTTCCCTCCATCCCATCAGACCCTTTCCTTCTCCACCTGCAGAGCCACAGCAGGAGACTTTCACACTAATCTAATAACACAGCAGTACCTTACTCACCTGGGCAGCTTCTCCTCCTCCTGATTCCTGACTGGAGCCAGATGGTGTGTTATCTGGGCCTCTCAGATTGGGTTCATATGTGGCTTCATGTGTTTTTACTTTACTTTCATTCATTTCTGTTCAAATCAATAGGTTTTTTTCTTCAAAACTTGTCACATGTGTTGCCAAAGCACCACAATGAAGCACATTTAACAAAAAACGATTAGTAATTAAACTATTATTGGTACAATTTCAAATACTTTAAATGCAAGTCAAACAAAAATACATCTGATAATAGATGTCTTAAAGAGATGTAAGGAGGCTAACATTATGTAATGCTCTAATCTACAGTATAATACAAAGATGTTTATCAAATAGAGATGTATTAATAGTAGTACGGGACTGCTATGAATCTATAAATATTAAAATAAATGAAAACATGGAGGTGGTGGTGCTAAGTATGCATGTAATACGGTTAGTACATGTGTTGTATAGCATTATATATGTCTATGACCTACTGGTTGTATTTTAAAAACATCAGAGCTGAAGGGATTAGTAAATTAATCAATTAAATCAACACATTTATTTCAAGAACATATTATTGTTTGAGTCACTTTTCAGGCAAACATTTTCAGCTTTTTATTGTCATTACTTGCTGGTTTTCTGGATATATAGTAAAGTATGTATTTTGTTTTTTAACAGTTTGACAAAGGTTTGAGAATACGTCTTGGTTGTTATCGTGCTCTAGGTTCAGGAGACCCTATTGACTGCCTTTGCACATTCAATAATATTTGTAATGAGACAAACACAAATTCAGAAAGATAAATGTGTTCCTCTGCTGAGCTGGAAAGAGTCTTAATGGAATATCTCCACACGGTGTCACTGTAGCACTAAAGGTCCAACATGACCTCTGGCTCAGAGCGTCACAAGTTGTGCTCAAGCAAAAATAAATCCCAATAAATCAAGTGTATAATGTATTAAAGGCATCGGAATTAAAATCAGTGCCAGCAAATTCAAACTTCGATTTAATTGAAATCTTTTAGTTCATGTTTGTAAAGAATCCATGAGCTATGACGTGGAAAGGTTAGGTTTCAATTATTAATATAATATAATAATTTATATTTCAGATTGGAACAACTCTGAATACCGGAGGAAGTTACAATCTGCAGAAACACCTCCTGACCACGGATGGACACACACTGAGGTATTCCTGTTTTTAAGAAAACTGGTTATCAACTCGTGCCTCTGTTTCTATTTCTCTTATCTCTTGAAGGCACACACCACCAGCAACGCAGGCTTCTCCTCCTCCCCCCCCCAACAGACCAGAGCCACTGACCTGGTAACACACACAGCCATATGGTACGTCCAGGACGGGACTCCATGCAGTAATTAGGGGGATGGTGCCGGACACTTGGCCCTGCTGCAGGGACTCATCTCCTCTCCTTAAAAGCGTGACATGGTTTCACCCAAATGATCAGGTATGTGTTTTTTTAAAGATGCAGTGACTGAGGGGGAAGGCAAAGGCAAGCTGTGTTGTTACACTGCTGCGCTCTCATTGTTCTAAAGCAGGTTGATTGTTTGTTATGGTCTCGACCCACACTGGCTGCGTTTGGGGAGTACACAGAGGTCTCTAGAAATAAACACACACACACACACACACACACACACACACACACACACACACACACACACACACACACACACACACACACACACACACACACACACACACACACACTGCCATTTTAACCTTTGCCCCCGAGTCTGCTTCTGAGTCTTTATCTCCCTCGTGCAGAAGTGTCGATTTCGTAAAAAAGAAAAAATGACTCTTTAAAGATAGAGACGATGCTTTCAATGAATACACCAGTGAAAGAGAGACACATTGTTGGATCTTGATACAGTGTTGCATCAGCATCTAATCTTCCACATTTCTGCGTGTGCGTGTCAACGTTTATTAAGGGGGATCCTGACTCCTTGATTCAGCACATTTTTAAATTTGCAGTCTTGCCACTGAGGCATTTTGAAGGCTCAGTTTCAGACACATGGAGCTCTACTCTGTTGGCCCGCTGCTGTCCGTCACTGCCTCAACCTCTCTCTGACAAGGAGATGAGGAGGGGGGAGGAGAGAGAGGCTGTGTGTGTGTGTGTGTGTGTGTGGCAGAGAGAGAGAGAGAGAGAGAGGAGAAAGAGGGGGTTGGCTTTAGTGCGATGTGAATGGAATAGAATCAGCGCGAGAGGGAGAAAGAGGGAGGAGGAGGACGGCACAAATCAACCTGCCTCTTGACTTCAACAACAGAATAGAGCAGCCGGTAGACACAGAGATCGGGAAGTGTGTGTGTGTCGGTTCTGTTTTATTTCTACGCTTGGAGAGAGGAAGAGAGCGGCAGACAGGAGGAACTGAAGCAGGAGGAGAAAGAGAAAGAGCCTCACCGTGGAGATAGATAGCAGAAAAATGCTGTCATGGGGAGAGAAGGGGAGGGAGTCGGCAGAGAGGAACAGGATGAAACAAGGCAGGGTCGAGCTGAGCTGAAATGTGGAGGTAAGCCTTTTCTCTTTCTGTAATGAGGTGACCGAGGATTCACATTCCTGCCTGCCCGCGTCCTCTTTCTGATGATAATGAAATCAGATGGATCCGCCGCACACCGTGTTAGCCACATACCTCTGTGCAGGCATGCTCTTATACTCAGAGACAATGTGTGAGAGCTGTGTAGAGGATATGAAAATAATGGCTTGGCTTCATCATATCCCCGTCCAGCTTGTCCTTCCTCTGCCTCTCTACGCATTGTGTCGCTGCCAGCTTTAAAAAACGCATTTGTACTCAGCCAGCCCTTCACGTAGCATTTACACGCGACGTTGTAGGTTTGAATCCAGCTCACAACCTTTGTCGCATTTCATCCCCGGCCTTCCCC